CAACGCACTACGTCACCTCCACGACTTCCGTCGACCTCGGCGTCAAGTTCACGACCGCTACCGGATAGCCCCATGGCTACTTCACCAACCGGCCGCCGGACGACAACATCCACCACTACCGGCACCACCTCGACAAACACTACGACGCATTGCTCCGGAAGAAGTAACGCAACCGACCAAAGCACAAAAGACCTCAAAGGACACTACAATCAGATCAAAGGAAGAAGCCACCAAAGAACCACAACCACTACGACTGAAAATTAACGCAGTGAAACTTTCCAACGGAACACCCATCACTTCCTACACACGACGACACCTCAGAAGACCAACCCATAATCTTCGACAACGAAGGTTACGACGAAGCGCAACTACTGGAAGGCCTGAAACACGAATCAAACCACATGAAACTACATGACGTCTACGACAAAGTAGATGCGTCTACAGTCGACGACAACGTCATCAAAGAAGCAATTCCTACAAGGTGGGTCCACAGAAAGAAAGGACCAGGCGTACGAGGTAGAAGCGTCGCAAGAGGCCACACCGAGAAGATCGAGGACGAAGGCTCCGTCTACGCCTCTACACAAATGTTTACGACGGTACGGACACTTCTCGCTCTACAAATGTCACGACCAAACTGGATCGCGCGACTAGGCGACGTCTCTACGGCATTTCTACACTCACCCATCGCAAAAGACCACGACGGCAAACAACGCTACGTCTACCTTTGGCCACCTAAAGAACTTTGTCCAACACAGAACAGGCGGCTAAAGAAAGCCATGTGTGGACTACGCACACCTAAAGCATGGCAGGACTACCTGGCTGAAGTACTACAAAAGCTCCGCTTTGTGAGAGTAAAGTCACGCCCCAACGTCTACACCAACGCGACTCGCGACTGCTACATCATGGTGTACGTGGACGACCTGTTGGTACTTGGAGACAAAACTACTGTCGACCCCATCTTCGAGGCCATCCAGAAGCAGGTACTGCTCAAGCAGCTGGCACATTGGCTACCCCGAGCCTGGTAAACCACAACCATTCCTGGGAAGAAACATCGCGCGCGTCGGCAAGTACTGCGCTCTTGGACTTCAGGACTCCTACATCGACAACATGATCGAGGAGACTGGAATGACCAACTGCAACACAGTGACCGCTCCAGGAATCGCCGACTACACTGCAACAATAGAGGATGAAGTGCTACTCGACCACGAACACACAAAAGGTGCAGAATAACTGTTGGTAAACTTCAATGGTTAGCATACACAAGACCAGACATCGCCTACGCAACAAAAGAACTAGCGCGAGACCTCACAGCACCTACAGAACTTTCACAAAAGAGAGTCAAGCACCTACTACGCTACTCGCACGGCACGAAACACTACAAATTCACCATAGAACTAGCAACAACATTAAGAGCAAACACCAACAGCATCCTGGATCCCGACGTTCATGTCGATGTTGATTGGGCAGGATGCCCCTACCAGGAAACCAACTTCAGCTTTCAACCTCATCTTTCTTGGAACAACAGTTGCGTTTGGCAGCAGAACACAGGCTACAATAGCACTCAGTTCAGCAGAATCTGAACCCTACGCGATTTGCGCAGGAGTTAATGAGGGACTACCTACTCGAAACCAACACTTGCAGCAAGCTAAACCTACGCATTCACACAGACCCCACAGCAGGCAAGCGCATTGCTACACGACAAGGTACAAGCAAACGAGCAAAACATATCGACCTCAAATTCCTCTACACACAAGACCCATCAAACACGACATCATCAGAATCCTTAAGATCAACACAGTTCACAACAGCGCAGATTCGCTTACCACACATCAGCAAGGAAGCACTGCGCAGGCTCATCCAGAGCATTAGGATACGCATGTAGCACTACGCAAGACCAGCGCAACTGTTTCACGACTTCAAGCTACATGCAACATGACATTTTCGGTGTGTAAGCAACAGTAATTACATGTAATGTCACTTGCACTCTTTGGCGGCATGATTGGCGTGTTTGTTTGTTTCTGGGATAGGGTCGTACTTAAGTTATGTTAAGTCGTGGTGACGCAACTGGGCCTCACGGGGAAAGTTTGGCAGTTAAGTTGATTGAGTTACAATAGGGACTCCACGGCTCCACACGACCCGCCCAGGTTCAGTTAAGTTAAGTTTTGTTAAGTTCGAAAAAACTGCACCGGCCTTTCCGGGTTTTTGGGCGGGGCTGTCTGGATGCTGGATTCTGGGGTCTGGACTGTGAATTCTGGAGTCTGGAGTCAGGAGTCTGCAGTCTCAGTCTGGAGTCTGCAGTCTGCAGTCTGCAGTCTAGAGTCTGCAGTCTAGAGTCTGCAGTCTGGAGTCTGCAGTCTGGAGTCTGCAGTCTGTCTGTGGAGTTTGCATTCTGGAGCCTGGAGTCTGCAGTCTGGAGTCTGCAGTCTTGCTTCTGGAGTTGGCAGTCTGGAGTCTGCAGTCTGGAGTCTGCAGTCTGGAGTCTGCACTCTGGAGTCTGCAGTCTGGAGTCTGCAGTTTGGAGTCTGGAGTTTGCATTCTGGAGCCTGGAGTCTGCAGTCTGGAGTCTGCAGTCTGGAGTCTGGAGTTTGAAGTCTGAAGTCTGCAGTCTGGAGTCTGCAGTCTGGAGTCTGGAGTTCGCAGTCCGGAGTCTGCAGTCTGGAGTCTGCAGTCTGGAGTCTGCAGTCTGGAGTCTGCAGCCTGGAGTCTGCAGTCTGGAGTCTGCAGTCTGGAGTCTGGAGTTTGCAGTCTGGAGTCTGCAGTTTGGAGTCTGGAGTCTGCAGTCTGGAGTGTGGAGTTTGCAGTCAGCAGTCTGGATTCTGGAGCCTTGATTGAGTCTTGCAGCCTTTCATCCGCGCACACAATCCAAACATGCAAAAAATCGCAAAGTGCCATCAGACCACAGCTTCAAGTGCCATCTCGAAATACAAATCAACGCCGAAAAATTCCTGGGCGGACCAGCCGCCAGCGGACAACCGCTTCAAGTGCCATCTCGAAATGAAAATGAACGTGGCAAAAATAGCTTGGCGGACCGGCCGCCAGCGGAACCACCGCTACAATGATGTATCATCAAACGAGAAAAGCAAGACGGGCGGACCGGCCGCCGGCGGAGAATCCGCCCCATGCGCTATAGAAACGAATATCGCACAACAAAATTCAACCGAGTCAATCAGTGCAAAAAATGCTCCGGCTCCATCGAGCCAAGCGTGCGAAGCAGCGCGAACAAACAGCGTAAACTGCGTGCGCGCGCGCCTGCCCTGCTGCGTTGAGTCACACGAAAATGTGTGCTTTCCAGCGCGTAATGCTTCATCACTGCCATGCTTCAAAACGCATGTGTTTGCCAACTCAATAAACTTAGAATGAACTTAGCGGACTTAGAAAAACCTCTTTTCTAAGTTCAATATAAGTTACTTATAAGTCCAAGCTAAGTGCTAAGTCACTTATAACTCCAGCGTAAGTACGACCCTATCCCAGTTCACATGTGTGCAGGACTGCGGCCATGGACAATTTTGCGACTACAACTGCTGAGAACGAGGCTGGCGTGTCCTCGCCTGAGACGACTACACCCGTCCATCCAGTTCACAACTTTGCCCAACTACACGCGCGTCACGACCTTCAACTGCAGACCACACCACTACCATTCAGCGCACACCTATGGGATGTCTACAACTCCAACAATTTCAACATTCACACGGGCCATGCCCGCACTAGCCACACCACCACGACACACCAAATCATCCCCCGACGGTTGAGAACTATGATGACACTACAGTCAATCTTTTCTACGCCGCTGCCACTTCAGAACCAGCTACACGCTTTTTGCCACGGCGCTCACAACCTGGCAAACTACATCAGCCGGCATACGACTGACGACAACTACTACATTCGGCAGCTGATGCCCACTTGTGGCATTATACCACAGCCTGACCGAACTCCATACACCCACAAACCACGTCAACGACTACATTCTTGTCACCGTTTCACTTCCCACAGACTACACCCAACAGCTACTACAAGACAACAACGTGGACTACTTTGTGCGTGACTACATTAGTCACTCCACTTCAATCAAAAGCCACTACACCCTTCGCTTGTCCCACTACCAGGGAGCCTCCTTGATCAACTACAACTTCAACGACTTCACCCTACACTGCGGCTACATCTGGGATTTGCACCTCCTCATCAACACTCAGCAACTACTCCACCTTTACACCCTACACCCCAACGACAGCACAGTGCGACGTGCTGTCCACTGCATTTTGAGCAAGACTACAAAATACTACGGCCACCACTTGTTGACCAATACACATGGCTCCGAGGCACTCCACGCATAACTGCTACGCACACTATGGGAACAACGCATGACGATGCCAGATATCCCTGTGAAGGACTACAACAGGACGCGTGGATCAGGTGAAGAATACCTGAACTACACGCAGGAGCCTGCCACGGTCCAAGCACTACTGGACCTACGCCAGTCTCAAAGAGACTACTGGCGCAACCGCCCTTAGGCCTGCGTGACGCGCTACAACAACAGCACTTCCTCACGAACTCCGTTCAGTCCGACTACATCAGGGACTGAATATCCTGAACAGCGAGAGCTACTCAGGACTACACCTGCTTCCCCTTTTCACTACAGTAGCATGGATGAACATCATTTGTTTTCACCACTATTGTCAATCTAGACATTTGCATTCCAGTTGAAAGATTCTACATGATCTTTTGACTGATCGACGCTGTCAAAGCACATGCGGTGTTGTACTACATAGCTTGTACATGACCGCAGGCCTTGGGCTTTCACTACATCCAGAGCCCATGCAAAGCAGGAATTGTGCAGACTACAGGTTCGTTTGTGTTAACAACAATACACACTTGCACTCGTAGTAAACAGCAGTCAGAATTTAACGGGGGAGAGAGAGAGAGAGAGAGAAAGAAAAAACAATAAAATGCCAAAGACACAATCCGTGATCGTTGATTCGTTGGGGCTACAAACCTCACCCGAGGCATGCATGAGAGCCGCGAGAGGACGTTGAAGGCGCCGTTGCTTTTCGAGGGCGACCAGCCAGCTGACTTGTTCTGTTTGCATGTGGGCCGTGTCTGTTTCTGGGCGTGGCCACCTTCCGAGATACCCAAAAGGAGCAGTTCCTCAGATGCCCAAAAGGTGCAGCTTCAACGCTTGGGTGGGTTTCTCCCAGAACTGTTTGCCATAGGTTGCGCGGCATCCAACATTGACTTTCTTGGTGCCTTGCGTTGGCTTTCGAGGCTTGCAGACTGGGATTCCCTGCGTTCTATGCCCAGTGGAAACAAGGGGGCAACCGGCCATGTGCTTGCTTTCGCAACCCCATTGTCGCCTGTGACCGACTTCCCCAAACCACCAAGCCACACGAAAAAACGGGGAGGGGGGGGGGGGCTCTCTCTTCCCGGGCAGACAGCACCGAGCAGCCCACAGGAGACTGCAGGGATCTGGTCCTTGCTCATCGAGTCCTTTTGGCTTCCCTACTTCCTGCTCGCTGCTTCTCCGCATTCGGCTTTAGGCACTTTACCCATCCGACAGGATGAAAAGGTCCCAGAGCACTTGGTTTTAATGGAAAAGAACGCTTCTTTGAGCAGACCCTAGATGGATTCAACAGGTTTCAAAAGCCACGAGAGTCGTTCATGACTCTCGCGCTGCAAAGTATTCTGTGCAGATGCATGGACATGCAGATGCAAATGTGCGGTTGAATTGTTGGATTTGTTGCGTGCATGTGGATACCCCAAAGAAAACAAACGCACAATGTTGCCAAACACCAGCACCATCAACAGAACCACGCGAAAGAGCGCACCAGGGCAGCCGGCAGAAGCACTTGACATGTAGAGGTCCTGAAGGATCCTGGAGGGTCGCCGGGGGAAAAATCGCACTCGCTGGCGGCCATTGATCCCTTCTACCTAAGAGTCCCTGATAACGATTGCACCAATCGACCAAAGAGTTCCACCTCGGGCCACCAATTGAATGAGCGGGCCCTGTGCCTTTCTTGCTTGAACCAAACACTTCCGTCTTTGCAAGGACGTTGGGGTGGCCGTCAAACATGCAAATTAATATTGGAAAAGAGTTTCAAGTTACATCCTGGAGATTTGATTGTTTCAAAGGGCAGCACGTGCTTCTGGTTCCATACCTTCCCACTGACAAGGATTTATTTCGCCAAACTTGCACAAAGGGCCTCAGATGTGCGTCGAAGTGATCGCAAAGGTTGTTTTCTTGGCAGCAATCAGTCATTCTGAAGCCGGCTTTTCCATTTGCTGTTTTCCAATGAGTTCCTCGGACCTCATTCAGGATGCCTTTACATGAACAACTTTGCTGAATTCTTTTGTTCGATCATGGAGCACGCTTCTAGCTGGTTTGCGCTTCGCATGTGCAGCTGGAAAGCCGTGCCAGCTTGAGGTTTCAAGTTTCGCCTGAGGTGAACTACTACTCTTTTGGGGACCTGCTGCAGGTCCCCTGCTTTCTGAGCGGTGCTTTGGCGGTGCCCCCTTTGCTTCACATCTGCCAGCCGGAAGTGAAGTTGAGCCTTGGCCGAATCGACAGAGTTTGTCTGCCGTGCATGCCCAGTGAATATGTATATGTATGCATAATGTGTGTTTGTGCGTGTGTGTCCATTCACATATGTATATATACACTATCCGAGTGCGCATTCACAAGCTAATACTTTTGCCACATAATTCGCCTTTGTGGCTTGAAGATTCCACGCCCTCCAACTCTCCAACTTGTTGTGGCTTCTTGAACCCCAGAGTTGAGTTGTTCAATGGCAGTTGCTCCAAGCAGGCCAGGTCTTGCTTTGGAGTGCGGGGGGCCAAGCAGGCCAGGTCTTGCTTTGGAGTGCGGGGGGGTCTTAGCACGCACATGTGCTCTGAGCTGGGCAAGAATCCCAGCAGCAGTCATCAGTCGGCAACCTAAAATAATCGACGGAAGAAGCACACATTTGGTGTGAATAATGGTTGCCAAACATGTGGGTTGAACGTGTTTGCTTTTTGCAGCGCTTTTTAGTGTTACATTCCGACAAAGCCAAAAACAAGGCTCCTGTCGGGCTGTCAACTTGCTTGATGCGTGCATGCACATGTGTATTTCCAGCTAGGTTGGCTGTTGATCACTTGCCTGTGTCAAGGACAGCGGCTTTGATGCAGCGCACAGTGCTGTCATTGAGCGTTGCCATCCTTCTTAGCAGCATTGGCTTCCCTCGGGACCGCCTGGGGCAAGCCGCCGAATACGCACAAGATTTGGTTGTAAAAGCTTGGGCTTAGCCAACCTCTCCACCAAGATTCCCCCAGAATTGTGGTGATGTTTGGAAAGCTGCCAGCAAACAATCCAGCTGTGTCAAAATGGAGTGTGTGCCTAGCAGTGCAGGAAACCTTTGCGCACAAGGCATTTCAGGCGACTGCAGTTTCCCTACTTGTTCGCAATAAACTTAGTTACTTGGCAAGCTGCTATGCAGGTGAGTGGCTCTTAATTGCACTTCCTTGCGCATTGTTGCAGGAGCTTTTGCCCATCCTCTATGTCGCGCGCATCATGGTCGGCACCTTTTGCATGGACGGCAACCTCACGAATCGCATAAATGCCTGTCTGGCTCCACTGTACGTGTGTTCCAATTGGATGCAGGAGAACGGGCAGCAATGTGTTTGTATCGTTTCGTGTTGTTTTGCAGGGTGCGCCTCTGTGTGTGTGTGTGTGCTTATGTTTCGGTGTGCGCTTGTGTTTTGTCTGTGCCGTGTGTGTTTACGTGCTTGTGTGTTGGTGTGCTCGTGTTTTTGTGTCCATGAATTGTGTATGTTGATGCATGTGTGTTTGCACTAGTGAGGACGAGCATGCGACGGAGCCTCTTAGCTGCACGTCACATGATTCTGAGTGCCTTGCGGTCCGAAAGGCAAGCCCTGACATTTGGCAAGTCAGTTTGCAAGATTGCCTTAGCCCCTTGTTAGCACAGTTCATGTTTCAGGTGCGTCAGGATCAAGCAGGTATTGTTATGGTACCTAGAATTTGTGAAGAAACAGGCTGCTCAGAACTCAGAACTCACAGCCATCCTGGTTGCCCAGCGCTTGTCAAGCATGGATGGGACTGCTGTCGTTATGGCAACTTGCAGGTTGCAGCTCATGTTCATGATCATTGCGGAGGCGTTCTTCTGTTCGGTTACGGCATTGACGCTGGCAACTCTGAATTACAAGGAGTACCAGCTCGCCTTAGCCAGCCTCAGGCTGCAGGCGAAGGCCAGACAATCCAAAGATTTGCCTGCCTTTGAATGTGCTGAAAAAACATGACTGGTGCATGTTCAAAGTTATTCGCTCAACTCTTTCCAACGTTCGCCAGACGGAGGCTTGTGATTGCCAGTTGGAATGCAGTTGGCTCCAGGGTGGAATTGTGACTCATCAACAAATAATGCAGGTGTTGAGGACCTTAGACTTTCTGAACAAATCTAACGAGCCCTTTTGAGGCCGAAACTGGGGTGCACTTGATGTGGTGCGCAGTTATTGTTCCGTGGGGTAGTGCAGTGCAGTGCTTGCTGGGATCAGATTGTGTGGACATCATGAGGTTGAAGAAGTGGAGGAGGCAGAGCGTTCTGGGGGTGCAGCGCAGCGCTTGCTCAGCGTGACTTGCGATGCTTTCGCGCGGCTCAATGATGATCTCAGGACGGCCTGTCAGTGGGCTTTTGCTGGAGTGGGTCGTTTCTGTGTCAATTCTACTGTATCTGATCGAGGGGGGTAGAGAAAGGGTCGAACAAGAATTACGTTAGCCTTGTTTTGGAGACTGGGTTGCGGAAAACATTATGGGCATTCACAACATCAAGCCAAGCCCAACTGATTACTCAGCACTGCCTTTCAGCACAGTGTTGTTGTTCATTTCGTCATGGCTGGTTGATGTTCAAGTGTCCAAGGCTTTGTACTTTGCGCATTTCTGTCAGTCACACAATCGCTTTGCCAGCTCGGTCAGGATAGCGACAGCCTCAAGAGGTTTGCTGGATATCCTGATGTGCGGCTTTGGCAACGGCTGTCGCTTGGAAGGAGCAGCTTGGTCTGAAGTTGCGGGCATCACGACGCATATCCTTTGTCGACAGCTATCCTTGCAAGTGCTGCATGTTTGCATCTTTTGATCTTAGTTGCAGGTTGGCTCCATTTAGTCTGCGGTGATGGCATGAAAAGCCGAGCAGCCGCATGGGTAAGTGTGATCAGTGCACCAAACGTAGCACTTGACAACAATCACCAGCCTCCATTGTTTCGTTGAGACCACAAACCCTGCAAGCCTTGTCAGTACGACTCGCTTCCACCTAGTGCCGAAGGCTTCAGGCTTCGAAGGATTGAAGTTGCTTGCCTAAGCTGGGTGTGGCTCAAAATTGAAGAGCTAGGGTTACGCAGGTTTTAGTCTTTGGCTCCATGTACCAAGGTGCCGTTTTTGTACATGCTTTTGAGCCACGACCAGTTGTCTTCAGAATCGGCTTGCCTGTGGACAGCTGGCTCGTGTGGCATCACCTCAGAAGATAACCGCGTCGAGTAGAACGGCGATGCAACATCACCACCCCCTTAGGGTCTCAAAATTGGGGGGGGGGGGGGGCGGACGTTTGAAAATGTAATTTGCATTTTCGGGCTCCCCCCAAAAATTGTAAGGGACCACCCCACCCCACCCCCTTCCCCAGATGCGTATTTCCGGTTTTTGTGGGGGGGGGGAAATGTGGCTTGGCACTTGGGCACGTAGAAAGCTACTTTTTCCCACCCCCCCACAAAACAGTGATTGACATGTTCAAGCATTTTCCTGAAGGGGAGTCGCAAAATGTAAGCTGGATGCTGGAGGAGCAGATGTGGCACATGAACAGAGGCTTTTGAAGGGAACTTGGTTCTGTGCGAGGTGCCTTCTTGATAGGCCCACCAGCGTCCAACATGTAATCTTACATTTTGGCACGTCCCCAGAAGAAAATGTAATCTTGCATTTTTAGGTGGCAAACCCCAGAAAATGCAAATGAGCTTAAGAAAGGTAGTCGATGGCTTCTCCGAATGAGCCGTTGCAACAGGTTAAAAAAGTGTTCGCCTTGATGAGAACCGATAGCTGTCAGTATGTGAGGGGATCGCAACACTCTTGCGAATGTGACATGTCAAGAATCATACATTTCCTTGTTGGACAGTCACGAACCCATGTCAAACGAGAAGGAAGAGCAAAAACGATAACTTGTTTCAATCATTCCATGTAGTCGAGCTGCGAAACGATAAACTGTCCGTCATTGAACAAGCACTTTGCCAGCACAGAGTAAGCACCGCAGGTACCTCGTTTGTGCTGCCAAACCAGAAAGAAGAAACAACACGATAACGTTGGTGAGCAGTTTGATATGTAAAACGATATGGTTTGGGCCAAAAACGACAGAAAGCAGATATGCATCCAGTTTAGTCAGAGATTTTGCCGCGGCCTCATATGTTGCAGTAAGGTTTTGAATCATAGTTTTTTGCAAGAGTTCGGAGAAAGCAAGTCTAGCAGCATAGTTTTGAAGAATGTCTGTTGCAGCTGCTGCCCAGGTACCATTCATCCGCTACGTTGCCTCCAATGATCAAGAGCCCACGCTGCATGCGGCGAGGGGGGTGGGCAGGCAGGCTGCTTTTGCTCTTTTGAAGGTGGCATTGTCAGGGATGTCCAGTGGGGTTTTCCTGCCTCCAGATGGGCGAATGCTGCTTTGCATCATTGCATCATGTCAACCCCGCTGCTGTCGGTTGCATGGTGATGTCGGTTCATGCAAGGCATTCAAATTTCGACCCACATGTTTGATGTTCCGGGTCGGGCTGCGCATGGCTGCAGTGCAGGGCAGGCAACATGAAGACGAGTTGCTGGATGTTAAGATGTGCTAAGGTTTGTTGGGCAGCAGGTAGTTCATTCCAGTTCCAGCATTAAGGTTGTTTGCTAGATATGGGTATGGGTCAAAATACAACCACCAGGGGACCGCAGGTTTTAGTCTTTGGTTCCCTTTACCAGGGTTCCATTTTGGGTACGCATTTTTGACCCATAGTAATATTAAGATGTGCATTCCAGTGTTTCTACTTAAAGCCTCCCTCGCGGGTCGTTTGGAGACCTTGTCTCGCAGTCTAGCGCTTGAGGAACGCTTCAAAGACTTCCTGGTGGAGTCTGCCAAGGAAGATGCACCGCCCAGGCGCGGCCCAGAGCGCAAAAAGTGTCCATTTGAACGCATGGTTGTTGTCTTGACTGCTATTGGGTTGGATCTTTAGACTTTACCTTTTAGGAAATCAAGGCGTTTTCCACTAAATCCCCCAAAAGTTAAGCTTTTTTGCAGGGGGGTCAACAGCAACCAAGTTGTTGGGAGACATTGTTACATTTTGCTTGTTGTGGTTTAGTGGTTGAAATCCCCACTTAACCGCTAAAACATAGATTGTTTGCTCCCCTTCCAACGTCAACCAAGCTTGTTTCTCCAAACGCTTTGATCAACGTCCAGAGTTGGAAGCGTCTCCGCGCGTGGCATGCTGCATGACCTGTGATGCAGCTGAAGGATTTGCGGAATTTTGTGTTTGTGCCGTTGGGATGTGAACTTAGGCTAGGCTGGCAGCATTTCAAATTTCAGCCTTCCAGGTCGATTCATTTGGACATGAAGGACTCCGGAGGGATCACCTTCAAGGCGGAGCTGTTCCACGTCTCTGTGCCAAGCCTCAAGTCCGATGCCAAAGAGCATTTGATCGGCATCAGCCAGGACACGTGCAAGAGTTCTTCGCTTGCGGCCAGTTTGAACCAATGTTGCTGAACCACCACGCATCTAGTTGCTCGCCAAGCACGTTTCACATTGTGATTTCTACTCAGGCGGGCAGGCGAGGGTAGAGCTACTCTATGCAGCCCACTCATTTGAAAGACCGGGCTTTGAGAGCGCAAACTGTTCAAGCAAAACCGGGATGGTCAAGTGTCCAACACCTGGAGGGATAGCACCAGCCAGGAGCATGCGGAGAAGGAGCTGATGAATCACAGCATAGCTCAGTTGCTCAGATCGGTTTGAGCTGGGAGGGTGCTGTCAAACGTGGCAGAGGCGGCACAGGGGCGGGTGACTGAAAGTGGGATTCTTGCCGCACAGCACGGGGCATGGAGCCCCACGGGCGCTCCAATGCGCGGCGAGTGCCAACATGTGCCAACAACGGGGGCCTGCTTCAGTCAGGTTTGAATGCAAACCAGCGTCAACCAATAGGCAACTTGATTGGTTCTTCTCATTGCAACTCGCACGGAGCGTTCAGCCAATTTCGTTGCCGGAAAGGAGATGCCCAGTCCATGAGGATGGGCAAGGCGTGACGGCTTGCGCCTGCCGCAAGGTTTGAACACGTCTTTCGCTAAGTATGGCGCGCCGCGGGATTTTGGTTTGCCGTGCGATAGCCACGCATTCAGGAAGCTACACTTGTAAGGTAAAAGATAAAGCCAAGCCCAGAGCCAAGACTAAAGACGATGAAGCCCGCCAAATGGACTCCAACCTGAAAGGGCAGCTTCCCTGCTAAAAACAAAAGACGACACA